TGTTTCTTCCTTTGGTTCTAGAATCTCCATAATTTCGATTTCGTTGGACTGTATGGTTTTGCCGGGTTCGAAATCATCCGTGATTGTGCCTGTGTCGATCGTCTTCTGGGATGATAGTTCTATAGATTCAGTCCTATCTGACTGCACAGCTTTTTCGAATGATTCTGGAATTTCCGCGGACTTGATTTCGTCGGGCTGCATCATTCTGCCTATTTTGAGAACTCGTACGGATCTAATTTTGTCTGAGCTGGCTGACTTACGGGGTGGTTTGGGGATTGCTACGGTCTTAATTCTGACTGGTTGCACCGGGATGCCGAATGGATCCGGGATTTGTGCAGATTCGGCTTTATTTGGTGGTACCATTTTGGCGGATGGTTCGAGGGCTTTTTCCGATTCAGATTCTGCCGTCCAATGTAGTAGGGGGTGGACTTGTTCGAATTCGATTCGTTCTGCTGGTGCTGGATTCGGCTTCGGCCGCGTGGAGTACGGCGTCTCGGAGCTGTCAAGAGTGTAAGCAGTTTCACTATTTTGGTCGAACTTTTCGTATTCGGCAACAATTTTTTGGATATCTTTGACTGGAAACTGGAAGTCTGTTTGTACTGCCTCAACGCATTCGGATAACTGTGCAGGGTTTTCTCGAGACGGTTCTGCGATTTCCGGGAACTCAACAAGGTATGTATCTACGAAAGCTTGCGCATAACTGGGAGCCTCAGTCACTCCAGCTTCTGCTTCATTCCGCCTTGTAACTTTTGCAGGCTCATCCTCCGCATCTGTTGAATCCGTCCACGCTTCTACACGCCGAGCAGTCTCGTCTTCAGCTTCAAGTTCCTGAAGGTAAACTTCACGCTCTCCTGTTACTTTGATGGGGATGGTCAGAATTTCAGAATCTTCTTGCTCTGAGCGGTCACTCTGCGAAGAACCAGAAGCACTTTTCTGAATCGGTTCCAATCTCTGAAACAGCGTCAACTTAGTTATTTTCATGAATTACTGTGGTATTGGCCGGAGATATGCAGCTCTGGGTCGAAAGGTCTAGCACAGAGCTGTGGTCTCAGCTAGCAAGAACGTCCTACGGACATCACTAACATAGGATACCCATACTTACCGGTTTTAGTGATTTCCTGGCGTTATCAAAATTTTTACCACTTTGCTATTCACACCATTACATGCAGTTATCAGAACCAAATGGTTACTGTCACTCAAAGCATTATTTATTGCTCCAGCCTCTTTCGAGTACCTCCACTTCTCATGAGCAGGTGAGGAATTTCACTTTTTCTCCCATCCAATTCATCCTGGTTGCGCAATTCAAAAAAAAACGAATCCGCTTTGAAGCCACAAACCCAGTAGCATAAAAAAATCTTCTACATCTCGTC